TCTGGTAGGGTCACAAGGACCCTTTCCCGGCTGCGCAAGCAAGATACTGACGCTGAGGTCACTTCTGCCTGTATAACGATCCTCCGAGTCCTTCTTCGGAGGCTGATGTCCATCAAAACTGGCATGGTGCACGGTACTAGGGAACCTTGTACAGCCTCCGGGCTATCACATGAATCCACCGTTATAAATTGCTTTCCTACATCGTCGAGAGTGCAACAGCACTTACACACCCATCTGAGCAACAAGATGTACCACTCGGTGAGTTCGCTACTTGAATTTAGCCACTCGGCTTCCAATCTGACTACTCATCGTTCGCTCGCAGCATGACAGTAACTTCTCAATTATCGTCCCTCAAAGAGTATACTGTGTCAATGGTTTCCAAGAGAAACACTCTGTGAATATGATCCCCAATCTAGACGACGCCTCAGGAGACATATCAGCCATCTTTCCAGGATATACCGAAGCCCACATGCTCCGGGACCGGCTGCATAACACTATGCTGGTCACCGCCTTAATGATCAGGCAAGTGTAGTCATGTTTCGAGTGGCATTCTGGACGAACTGATGCAACACTCCGAGCAGCCCCTTATGCTCGGTGACCAACTTACCAGATATCGCCGTCAGTCCTATACTGAGAACAATCGCTCTGTTCGCGTGCATACTCGACCTAACCGGATTTCTTACGGCCTCAGTGTTCTGCCTGCGACTGTGGCACATGCGGGCTGGCGGTCAAGATGAGGTGTTGCATCGGTATTGTCATTGTCATGTGCAAAAGCGTACCCTGGAGCTTATAAAAAACCAGGATCTGTGCAATACCTGGTCAGGCCGGATGCTGTCGACTATGTCGCCCATGGTCCTCATTGCCAGGTACTTTAGTCATGACGGAGCCCGAAATGACCACTACTCACCGTTCCCTGCAGCTCTATGCTCTTGTTGTTAATCACTCTTTCCGGCCCTCTCTTCACTAGAAATGCGAACCAGATCCAAGTCGTTCCCTTTGGCACGCTTGAGCTCACAGTGCTATGCATTGCATGCTGCTCGGCCATCGTCCACCTCGGCTTTGTATTCCGTACCATCGCAATGGCAGGCAAACCCGACCAGATACCGGATATTGCGCCACATCAAAAGCCCACATCTCGGAGGCATTTATCGCGGTTTCCCGTGATATAGGCTATGTTCGTATCTGAACTCTGGTTCGATCCCTGCAAAAAATCGGTGATATGGGCTCGACTAATTTCGTAGCTTCTACAGTACTAGTATTAGCGTACAAAACAATTTGCTTCGGGTTCGTCAGTATCATCCTAGACATGACCATATACCAGTTCGTTTGTGGAATCCGAATGCAGGCGGATACGTTAATTGCGATGGTATTCGCATGTGATTTCGGGAAGTATGATAGCCGAAGTCTAAAGAATTCCTCGCGTCAATCGGCTCGCTCATCGCCTGAGCCGTCCAAACCCAGGGGAGCATATAGTCTGTGCTAGCGAAACAGGCTGCACCTGCACCTCTTACTCCACACTGTTTGCACACGAAATGGGAGCACCAATCCAATCTGGCCCGGCTCAGGACACGCTGACCGTGCGTGACAACCGCACAGGCAAGACTTACACAATTCCGTACGACGCTTTGAACTAGAAGCCTCGTATAATCGACTGACTCAAGCTCAGAATCGTGGATAATGCAGTTGATGCCAGTGGCTTCAAGACTATCAAGTCTCCTGCTAAGCCTGGAGAGCGGCCGGAGAATGAAACAGAGAAGGGTCTGCGAGTTGCTGACAAGGGGTTCCTGAACACAGCTGTCATACAGAGTCGGATAACATACATAGACGGAGAGGCAGGAGGTGCGTCGCATGTTACATTGCCTGGCAAGAGGGAAACTCTCAATATCGACGCGTTGCGTAGTCTTGCGGTACAGGTGCATACTTCGTTCGATCTCCGCTCATTCGTCGCCACTAAGATGAGCTCTTTGCAGAGGATACCCGATTGAGCAACTCGCCGGACGCTCCTCACATCTAGAATGTGCCTATCTCCTGATTTACGGCTCTCTCCCAACACGCAGTCAACACAATCACTTCGAATCTGAGGTCTTGAGGCATGGCGTCATGCATTCGGACGCACAGACGTTCTTCCGTTCTTTCCGGTGAGTGAGACTCCACTGTCTCTATCATACAGAACACTGACCATATCTTCGGTTAGATATGACGCACATCCCATGAGTATGCTTACAAGTGCATTTGCTATGCTTGGTTCCTATTACCCTGAGGCCAACCCATCGCTGCAAGGCGCGTCTCAACGCTATGCCCAGCAGCTACTCAGCTAACCCACCATCATCCATCACAGGGCAACGCCTCTATACAGAAGGCGATAGGACCTCACTTGAAAATATGGACAGGCAAATCTATCGTATCATTGGCAAGGCCACTACTCTTGCAGCGTGAGTTAAGCACTATCTGAAGCCACGTTCCATCCTCACCATTCCCCTAGAATGGCATATCGTGTCCGTCAAGGTCGTGACTTCGTGACGCCTCCAACGGGGCTTAGCTATACAGGCTCGTGAGTGTTGCATTACAGGTGTCCTTACGCACCATGTATGCGGTTTCTTCTGCCGCAATATTCCGATCCACGCGTCTTGATGCACCATTTGAGCTTTCTAAATAATGGTCCCCTGATTAAAATATCTTGTAGGTTCCTGTACCAGATGGACCATCTTGGCGAGGAGAACTATGCACCTAATCCCGTTCTGGAGAAAGCACTGGATGTACTCTTCCTAATTCACGCGGACCACGAGCTCAACGCCTCTTGCACCACCGTACTTCAAACCGCAAGCTCCCTGGTTGATCCTTATTCGGCCGTTGCGTATGTCAACACTTCGCGCGTCTCGTATTCTCTCTAAGGCTGATATCCTTGTTCTCACAGTGCTGGTTGCGCGTCGTTGTAGTAAGTCTTGGCGAAATATCTGTGTTTCACGACGCCATTTAAAGTTTGCTCTGGATGGCCTCACAGTGGACCATTGCATGGGGGTGCTAACGAGGCAGTCATCCGCATGCTGATCTCTATTGGCAAGTCAGTTGACCGCCTCTTCAATCTGCTCTGTTCTTCCTTCTGATTGTTCGGGCGACAGGCCCGAGAACGTGCCCGCCTTCATTGAGGCAGTGAAGAGACGCGAGAAGACGCTCTCCGGGTTTGGACATCGGTGAGCAGGCGTCATGGTTACCTTTATGTGCACCATATGCTTACCTTCCCTAATTCAGGGTCTACAAAACGGTGAGTCGCCAAGCATTTCCGAGAAGCCCATAGGCCCTGAAAATACCTTCCATCTCAGTCAGACCCACGCTCTTTTATCGTGCGCAAGACCGCCGACGCCGTGTTTGCCGTGTACGCCGTCTTCCTTCGGTGTAATCTGATCGGCCAGGACTCACCGCAACCACAGCACCGGTAAGGATGAGCTACTTGAGACCGCGATGGCATTACACGACGCTGCGATGAAGGATGAGTACTTCATTAAGCGGAAGTTGGCTCCGAATGTGGATTTCTGGTGAACTGATTTTCGTCAAATTATGCGAATGTTAGCTGATATCATTTCCTCGCGTTCTACAGGAGGTAGGTCTCGCATTCACGCTTGTGAATTGAGCACATTTATTGACCATTACGTGGAGTGGTCTGATCTATCGTGCTATGGGTACGCAATCCGTCTATCACTGATAGCTGGTAGCTGACGTTAGGCCGCTTAGGCTTCCCTCTCGACTTTTTCCCTGTTCTCTTTGTTGTGCCTCGCGTTGTGGGCTGGCTCGCGCACTGGCGTCAAATGATGCTGCAGGAAGGCGGTGTAAAGATTTGGCGCCCTAGACAGGTACGCCTCTCTTCTTCCTCTTTACACAGCTTCCTCTCGTCTGTGTCCTTTACCCGTCTTCTCAATGCCAATGATGCGATGCTGACGTCGTTCCAGATTTATACGGGCTCCGGAAAGCGGGATTATATGCCCGTGGACGAACGTGGTACCGGTGAGGGCAAACTCGGAGAAACACCTTCGGTTGTACAGCATGGAGGGTAAGCGCGAAGCAGTTCCCATTCTGGATCATGGTTCCTGCTGACCGTCTTCTATAGCATCACGAAGCGCACCATGCTTGCGGATTTCAAGGGCAAAGCTAAACTGTGATCTCCGTTTTGCGGCTCCGCATTCTACTCCTGAAATTTGTTTTGTATCGAATGTACAGTACAGATTTTTCGACTGGAACGATGCTGACTCTTTTGGCTCATGTCGTCGCGCCTGACCGCGCTCTGGCCGCTGCCGGTGTGTTTCACCGGTGCATCTCGTTGAATACGCGGACTGCGGAACCCACCACGGTCGTTAATGGCCGTCGGGCTTGAGTGACCTGCCTACTGACGCTTTCGGGGCCCTTCTCCATTTGGCTCGGCGGCCGACCCCGGTATAAAAGTGCGAGGCCTACTGACCGTGTTTCTCCAGCAGCACCTGAGCAAGCACCCAAGCTCTACCCGCTCACCGTCATGAAGCTCTCCGTCGCGTTCGTCAGTGCCGTCCTTGCCTTCGCCGGGATTCCTGGTTCCTTGGCAGGCCCCGTACGGGTGTGTAGCTCTCCTACTCTAAGCGAAAATTCGAACTCATGATGATTGCAGCGCCAGGACACCACCGTTGTGTCTGACTCCGCGACCCCGTCGTCGTCGTTTGTCTCGTCGACGCCCAGCTCGTTCTCCATCGTGTCGTCGTCATTCGTGTCGTCTACCCCCAGTTCGACTCCTGTCTCGGAGTCTTTCAGCTCGTCGTTCGTGTCGTCCACGCCGAGCTCGGTCGCGGTTTCCAGCACCGTCGTATCATCTACACCCAGTTCAGTCGCGGTGTCCGGCACCGTCGTATCATCTACACCCAGTTCAGTCGCGGTGTCCGG